GCAGTGGTCTGAGTACAGTGTTGGTTAATTTAGCAACAAAGACATGCCCATGCTGAGAACATTTCATCTGGATGCCACTGTCTCACATCAATTGCAGTTTCTTTGACTGTTCTCAAATCCACCCTTGTGTGGGGGTTTGAAGATTGATTCTGTTCCTAAACTACATGAGGATTACACAGCAGCAGTGTCTCCCCCAAATACCATCAAGTATCTATCATCCCAAATAAAACTCATATCCACAGACTTGCAGAAATTGCTCTATCACCATTCCACCAAAATCTCTAATATACAACTTCCCTATGTGACAAAGAACATACGCAGTAATTGTTGAAACCAGTTAAGCTTTGTGTACAACAAAAATGAACATAGTTTAACCAAGAGAGGGTGAAGACTTGATAACACTTGGGGCAATCCCCATATCCCTAGGAATGTGTCACAATTCCAGCTATACATCTTTGAAAGTGTAAAACATTTACAGCTGTCTCTAGACCCACAAGAAGGGTTTGCAGAGAACACAGCCACTGACTGCTATTGTAGACAGAGTAAAACTTGCTATCCTTACTAAAACAGTGTAAGAAAATAAAAACAGAAATCATAGCAACATCAAAGTGTACCTACAAATTATTTCTTTTGCTTGCTTTTTTATCTCCACAGGAAGGCTTCCCCATGAAAGAGGAGAAAGTTTATCCACCTTGGGTACAGGCCATTTGTGTGCTGTTGGCTGCCCTTCCTTGCGTGTGCGTGCCACTGGTAGCACTCTTCCACCTGGTCAAACAAAAGCGCAGGAGCAAGGAGCCAAGCTTTGTACCACCAGAAGTCTCCTCCTGTCAGGGGACTAATAGCAACTTTTCTCATCCAAAAGAATAAATATCCATTGTACCTGTCTGTAAGCAAAAATATGACACCCTTTGTTAGACACTATTAGCTGTCGTTTGGTATCATCCAACCAACCTGCTATACACAGTTCATATGCTTACAGCAACCACTACACTCTGTAAATAATGCCATTGTGTTTCCTTTAATTTCAAGCAATTTCACAGCTTCATGTATCTCTCCAGACAGAATTTGAACTTGGAAAGCCTGTTAAGTATTGTTGCTGGCTTCTGTCTTTCTTCACTTTTAAAACACTGGTCTGCTCCCAAGCATCAGCAACAAAAATTGGAACACAAGCATCTACAGTTTCACTCACTGCCCTGCCCCCCTGCTCCAGGAGAAGCAGAATGAGAGCCCTCTAAAAATAAGGACTGCTCTTTACCACTACACTCTAATTTTTGTAAATCCCTATACACACTTAAACAGCAGTCATTTTGTGATTATTTCATATTCTCAAGCATTGCAAGGAGCAAAGATAAAGCATCAGCAGATAAAGAATGTTAGGTAAATTTGAGCAATTAATTCTGCACAAATATCTTATCTTAGTAGATTCCAGAATTTATCGTAGTGGAAACTACTGTTAAAAAAAGAAGTCCCCATTTCTGTCCTTTTTGTTTCTCATACTAAACACAATAGCTCAATAGCATAACAAAAATGCAGATGTATAGCAGCCTTTCAGTGAGCTGCAAGCTTACAGGACATGACAATGAAATTAATCTTTACTGAAAAACAGTACTTGGCTGTACTTTTCCTGTACTTGGCTGAAGATTCTGGCCACTCTGTAGTGCTGGGAGATGAGGATTCCTCTTGTCACAATACTTAAGGAATCAGCAGCCTCTGAAAAAATATGGAGAAAATATATGAGGATAAAGTATGACGATACCTTTAGGCTGAGTAACTGAGTCAAGGAAAAGAAAGGATTAAGGTTATAAAGCTGAAAATACACAAATAAGAGTTTTTAACTAACTGAAGCATACATTTTATACTCATGTTTCTGATTACAGATAGCTAAATGTTCATTAAAATCCTATAGGCAACTACATGCAGCAGGTTTAAGTAGTCGGAGTTCTGTTCTTAAACGAAAACACATCCAATTAATACAGAGAGAAGCTGAGAAAATAATTAAACTACATCTAAAAGACCTTCAAATCTATAAATCTGTCTTGAGTCACTGTCACGGTATCCAGACTTGACTTTTGAGCTGTCCCTTCCATTCAGCAGAAGGAAGACTTTATGGATCACCGGACATGCAGTTCAACCCAGGACAGGACTCTGGGGGAGGACAGTTTTCACCCCCAGTCACTACAAATGATGGCTGGGAAACACAAGCTGAAGTTACTGTTTAGCTCAAGTAGGCATGTAGAAAAACGTGTTGAGCAACTCCTGCATGAACACTGCTTTTCTGTTGTCAGTGCCCTTCTGATGTTACAGCTACCAAAATTCCAAAACTGTAGCCTTATTCCAAAAAAGTTAGTGATATAGGTTCCCCTTCTTAATCATGAAGAGTAAGATGACATCCTATAGGTACATTTTTCTCCTGAACAGCTCGACTGTTTTACTTGAGGAAGCACGTGTATGCAAACACCTTCCACTCACTCTTTTCCCAATCTTTTATCTCCATATTCCATCAAATCTTCTTTGCTCTAATCCCCTGCTGCGAACTCATAATGTTGTGACAAGACAAGACTTTCCTAGAATTGTCTAGACTGCCAGAACCACCTGGGTTCTTTGGGGGTAAATCAGTAAAAGACACAAACACAGCTATGGTGATGTTCAGCCTTAGCCAGAATCCACAGCCCTAAAACAAGGAGATCAATTGCCTATTAAAGGAAAAAGCCTCAGAAGGAGCATTGGAACAGCAGATAAATAAGGACACACCCAAATTATCATAATACAGTAAACAGAAAACAGATGCAGAAAGAAAAGCACAATCCTTCTGGAACACAGGAGTTTCCTACGTTGTGAAATTTGACACCTACCTCAACCTGAGATTCCCAAAAGCAAATAGTGGAGAGAAGGACTTCTTTGATGGATGCATCCAAGATATTGTGATTTCCCCTAGAGGGGCTTCTGTCAAATTCCTTCCTTACACCTCTGTAGACACACTAAAAACAATGTTCAGCCCTATTTCTCCCCATCCCCATTTAAACCCTCCAGCAAGCTCAACTTCCTGAGAGGTTTGCAACACTTGCAGCGCAGGGAGTTACGTTCAGTGGTTTAGCTCTCAATCCCTCTACTTACCTTCTCTTAAATACTGAGACCTTAACACCTCACCGCAACTCTCAAAGATTTTGAAATTTTCCCAGCTGTACAATGATTGTTGAAAATCCACATTACAGATTCAGAATGCTCCTAAGGTAATTCATTTAATATTTCTAGATTCAAGTTATTCACTCTACCCAAACGTTTCCTGTCAGCAGTTGCTGTTTAACGCACTGCCTTGCTACCAATTAAGTAGAATATATTTTACCACCACAATGGATCATACTACTTCTTTTAGAACAGTTCTGTGTTGGAATAGCTTTATGGAATATTTCTACCGTCCCAACTTCATAAACATCTATTTTTAGAGCAAAAACTGTGTGCCTCTGCCATGGTTAATCTATTCCTTACACATATACTGATAGTATTTTCTTTCCAATTATCATAAGCCACAGCAGCAACTTCAAGTTTCCAGTATAGACTACCAGCTCTTCTTCAATTCTCCAAATTCTCCACTTCCTAAAACAAATACCAGTTTCACTTTACTTTCACTTGCCTTTTTGGGGGAAGGATATTTTTAATGAAACAATCTTCTCTTGTGATTTCTACACTGTATTTGTATCTGTTTACAAAGAGCTACTCTTTAAAACTGATGACTCAGCCAGTAATTGTTGGGAAAGGCTCAAACATCAGCTCGGAGAATTGCAAGCATTACCCTGTATTCATTTTTATAAAATAACACCTTCAGCTGAGACCACATCATAAATTTATATTCTCAAAGAGAAAGATGGGCTAATCCAAGCCATTGGTGAAGTTTACATTCCCTACTTTCTTCATGTTGGAGCATCTTGCTGTCTCTTCCTGCCACACAATCCCATAAAATTAAGTTTTCTGCACTGCCAGGCCTCTCTTATGCAATGCTGTTCCTGACAGTGCTCCCTCATCCAGCATCACTCAGACCACTGAGAGGCATGGGGGTGTTTAAATGTTTGAGCTGCTGGCTGGAGAGCAAGAGTGTTGTTCTTCATTTCTAGTAGGAACAACTGCTCTGTGACTTTTTTAAAATGTATTTTAAGAGTGCCACTTCGCAGACAGAAAAAGCCCAAACCTGTATGACTGACTGTACATTTTGAACTGAGTTAGGATGTAAGTGGACAGACTGCCATACTGCAATTTAACCACCAGTCCCTGTGTGGTGGGGATTTGTCAGCAATGAGGCAACCATTACTTCTCTGGGGAACCTCTTCCAGCAACTCAACACCATCACACTAAACAATTTCTTCCTTATATGGAATGTAAACCAAACCCCAGTTTAAAGCCATTCTCCCTTTTTCTACCACCACATGTCCTTGTAAAAAATTTGGTTTTGGAGAGCCAAAGGTATGCAAATAGAAAAGCAATATACTTGGTATATTATCTCATCGAGAACTTTTGTTTTGTAGGTATAAATACACCAGCATCATTCTGTATAACACTGCATTAAAATATCACTAAGTATTCAAAATAAATAAAACATACACCAAATATAATCAGCTTGGACAGTGAAATTTGGGCATATATTATTTGTGATCTGCAAAGCATAAAATTTCAAGCCTCTGCATCTTGCCATGAAATGCATTTGCCTGTGCAGATAACTGCTTTTTGTGACGTAAACCAGCATATTAAAGATTACTACAAAATAAAGGCCATGTAGATAAATATGTGTTATTGCAATTAACCAGCCAATTTATTACAAAATAGTCTGCAACACAGAGAAGTAAAAAACAGCCCTTCAAGACAACTCATTGAAACATGAAAGTTAGTAATTTTGTACAAAACATAGTTTAATGATTTCTTCATCAAGAAGGTAAGAATCACAGAACATAATCAAGTAAATTACTTCAAACAGCCTGTGAATTTACAAAAAAAAACCCCACAAACAAAAAGAAACCTGAACAGGAAGGCATTAACAAAATTGTCTGCACTTTTTGTGTCCTCGTAGGGTATCTGAGAAACAGACACATAAAACTTCTGCTTGAACTTGCTTTTGGCCCACTGTACCAAAATAAACTACAGAGAAGTCACCTAAAGACACAGCATTTATTTTCAAACCTGAGAAAATCATGACATAAACCTCAACCAGTTAGTCCAGGATAGCTTTGAAATCTTGACAAAGAGACGGTTCTGTCACTGCCTGCAGTAGTGCCACAGTATCCTTTGGGATCCTCCTGATTAGCTTCTTCTTACCTACCAAAACATCAGAAACAATTCATTACGACTGGTTTAGGGAAAATGCTAATGAAGCAATGAAATCCATACTAGCTAAAACCACCTAAAAAGCTGAAACACCTGGAATATGGGGACAAAAAAAGCTATAATAAAAGATGCTACTGTTTCTCCACACTTAAATCAGGCTAACAAATAAAGAAGTTTAAAAATTGTATGTGAAAATATTATCAAAGAAAGTAGGAGGAATTTGCTCCTTGATTTTCTGTTTTTGTGGAGTTTTTTTTCAGATTTGAGAACTTCACTGAATTTTGAAAAGTATAAGCCCATTTGTTCAACAACTTTACCCACCAAATAAGGCCTTCCATTAAACCTCAGTTACTTTGAAAGACTGAATGTTCCATCAATAAAAATACAGACAGCAAAAAGAACTTCTTACAGATTAGAAAGAACATGTAAAATCCTAGCAACAGTTTAAGTCCATCACTAAACAGAGTCAGCAAAATTGTCAATGATGCAGAAAGCCAGAAGTACTCAATAAACATTTGCCCTGTATCTGGAAAGGAGACAGATGATGTATTTATATCTCATCATGATAAGGAAAGATTCTTGCTCCCTTCCCCACTGGTAATAACAGGAGGGATGTTAAACAATAACTGTGTTTTAAATACTTAACTCTGAAGAATTATGACAACTCATGACAAACCCCTGATGTTGATATTTAATAGGTTTGGGAATAGTGGGAAGAACCTCCTCCCCAAAACCTATGAGCTTCATTTCAATTCCCATGGAGAGCAATGGAAAGGCACGTGCAGGGACACAAGAGAAAACAACATTTATATCAATTCCTGTCAACAATATCATCTTACAGAGGTAATAGGTTTTATACAGCCAACACAAACTCCAAAATGACAACAGAAATTGCAGCTGTTAAGTCAACATAGGGGCTTTTACCAGCCTTGTTTATCTCCGTGCTACAGATTACTGCAGCATGTAGAGATACTGAGCAAACTTCACAGGATCCCACCTGAAAGTCAGTGACTTCCCTGTCATGACTACTGACATCCACACACGCTACCTGATTTCCAGAAGATAAAACTTAAAATACCATGTTTAGAATTAGCTCTGACATCTCTACATAATGCTTAGCTCTCTAGTAACCATCTCTACAAGATGATGTTCAGATTACAATAACATTGCCCAGGACTAGGTCTGGTGCAGGGCAAACAAAACTAACTTGAAACTGCATAGAAAACTATCAATATCTCTGTAAATGGATTTCATTGTATGCCCAAAGGATCAGGACACTTAGTATAGTACCAAATTCAGAAGAAAATACAAATATAAACACTATGTACAATCAGGGTCTGAAAAACAGCCTTCACTTATGACCAGAGACCTTGGGGATACAGAGATAATGATCCCCATTCACACCAAGGGTATGCATGTGACTTGTCACCACAAGGTGTCTTTGTACAGCTCCACCAATTACTGTATCAACCCCTGCTGCACCAGTGGGACAGGGCTAGTGGAAGTACAGGTAAGATTTTAAGCTGGCTATAAGCAAATGGAGACAGCATTTGAATTACTTGGACCCCAGTGATCTGTCAACCAATCACAGTGAAAGTTTCCATCTTAAAAGTTTCATAGTAAAGTCACAAGTCACAGCCTGCTAATTGTTCAGGCAGCTGTTAAGCAAAGATTTCTGAAGCCTTGATCTCTCAGTAGAGTACTTGAAGTCTCAGATATGTCCAAAAGAAACCGGACTCTGTAGATAAGAAGAGTGGATTGTCTTAACACTATGGATGTGAAGAACAGATTCTGCCTCAGAGAAGGTAAGATTTATGAAAGAAAAGCAGAAAATCACTCTTTTCAAGAGAACACCACCAACGACTTTCTATAGACCTTTGGACTTTTCCTGCTGCACCTCCACAATACTCAGGAAGTACAATGTAAACAGACTTCCTCGGGAATTTAGGAAGAAAGATTATTCCCTTTCTAAAGGGCAACTCTCACTATTCTCACTGTCAGAGAAGCCAACTGTGGTCAGCTTTCTCTTCCTGGGTAAGAAACTGTGCAGAGTTAGGCCTGGACCACATGCAAGTTTCAGGTCGGTATTGCAGTCAGGCAAGCAGCTCTGTGGGTACAGCAGAAGGAACCCAGTGACAATCACTATTCAGACTAGGAAAACTTCACCTCTACTTCCCAGCCCACTTTCCCTGGCATCTGTGGTGGTGTGACTTTGTGGACGGCAGAGACCACTTTTATGGCTGATGCACACAGCCATGGAAGGTGAGATTCTGCTGAGCAGTAAAGCTGCCTGGGACTGTGCCTCCACCCTGGAAGCGGAGGCACAGATTAAACAGCAAAGCGTGCACAGAGAAGGATGGAGGAGCTTTGGCTTGGATTTTAGTTCGCCAGTCAAAGATCCCAAGAGAAAAACCTTCAGCATTAGAGATGAAAACTCAAATGTGCCCTATATGGATCTCAGAGAAGTGAGGCAGCTCCCAGAGAAGCCACTGTCCTATTGGTTGTGTATACTGCATTCACTGCTTAGTCCCTGTCCCCTCCAAGTGAAGCACCTGCCCTGGTTTCTCAGCAGCAGTGAGCAGACTTGGGGCCTCTGGTTTTGGTGTCAGTGAGTAACTCAGAGAAGGAGTTCCTCTGGGAAAGGCTGTTGGAATTCTGCTCCATACAGACAGTCCACAGCTCTCAAGAATGTGGCTGGCAAAATCCCAACCATCAGTTTGTTTCCTGTGAGAGTGTAAGTGTCGTCTTGATACATTCACACTGCACCACCAAAAATCAGACTCTGCACTCAGGCATTGCTGCAAACCTTTGATATGGGAAGGAAATGCTTCTTTCCAAAAGAGCTGCTTTATTTTGGGGGCACTGGAACTCAGCAGCTATCAAAGGAAGCTTATGATATATTTCAAATCAAATAGGTGTTACTCTGGAATGAGACCTAGGAATTTCTTGGTCTTGTATAACAAAACTGCCTAAGCACTGACTCAGAGTGCAAATCACAGAGTCAGCAATGAGAATCTGGCCATCACCGCAGCTAAATTCATAAGCAGTACTGGCTGCTTCAGGAAAACATCTTGCTGTCTACTTTTAGTATCTTAAAACTGAAAATTCTATTATTTCTGAGGCTGGCAGGCAGACTGCACAACTGTTTAAGGAAAGAGCTCCCCAGGGGCCAGGGACACAGACAGCTTCTTTCACCAAATGGAAGTGTAAGAGACACACCAACACCACAACTCTGCAAGAATACACATGCAGTGGAGCCACTGCTTCTGCTTCCAAGTGACTCTGGTGACACTATTTTGGGTAAAAGTTTAAATTGTGGGAGAAGCTTATTTAGTCGCCAGTTAATCTACGTTTTTAAAAATAGGAGATTGAGCATTTGTGTTTCATTTACTTAAGCCTGCTGACAATACTTACATATTTAACAGTCTTATTAAGCCTTCTGGACTGTACAAGCTTACTGAGTGCCAAGCATCAACAGTCCTGTGAGAATAAGGTTCTAGAAAATACAGTGCTGGAAAACATTTTAAATCTGCCTACTTAGTAAATTTGAATAAAATCAGAAAGATCATTAATGTACATCTGAGAACAACATTTTAGGATTAGAAAACTTTAAAAATCCACTAGTTTTTAAGTTTAATTACAATGAACCATAGACAAAACTGTAAAAATAGCTGAATACTTACAGACTTTTAAGGATGTAAGCAGACATTTGTAAACAGCTTTGTGATTTAACAGTTTGACAGTGAAGGCATGGTAGCAGAGCCATTCTGCTACCTGAATAGGGAATATGTCAGATACACCTTTGTTAGATTTAGCAATCCCTAGAGATAGAAAAGGAAAATAATGTAACTGAAAATGATGAGCATTAAAAAGTATGTCTGGTCTCTACTCTCTTTCTAGAAAATCACCCCAGGATTTTTTACTAGAAACCTGTGCAGTCAGTGAAGTCTTGTGCATCAGCAGAAAACTAAGAAACTAGTGCCTGAAACACAATCTTCAGAAAACTGAGTTTGAGAAGAAAAATACACTGTGATTCTTATTATGCATTTCACATAATTAATTCCTGATTTTTATCCCAAAATTACACCATTGGACTGCACATTCAAGATGTTCTATGTGTCTAAAAAAACCCCAAACAAATCCAAACCCACTACTTCATTGCCATTAATGTCCCATACCTGCATTTATTGTTTTCAGGATAGCATAGCAGCATGATGCAGTCTGAGAGATAATCCTTAGGAAGAAATCAGGATTTTTTCTAACTTGCTGGCTGAATGGTAATTGGAGAACACAGGCATGGAACCTGTTCACAAAAACAGCCTATTCAATAAAATGTCATTTGCAATTTCAAGTGAAACTATGACTACATAGCTTAGGCACTATACAACATTTAAATGCACACAATAGTCTTTAGGTGTATCAACACTGTTACTGCACAATACCTCTCCCATATACAAACATTCCTGGAAAGTCAGATGCAAACTATGCTTGTTTCTAAATTTAATGCTGAAAGAAGATCTTGAAGCTATCTAGTTCTAGTTTAGAACACTAAACTACCCATTGTCACCAATTCCACATCACACAGAGAACACTCACATGAGAGAGAGTGAGAGGAAGAAAATCAAGGCAAAACCCCACAATAAATTCTGTTCAGGTATGCAGAAAAATAGACTTCCAAATGATTTCACAGTCCAGCCTTTGCCTATTTGGAAGCCAACTCTATAGATGTTATTTGTATCATATGCTTTCTTACACCTGTTAGAAAATATTTGGAAACTGCTGACTTTTTTTTACCTTCAGACTCTGGCATTATAATCCTGCTTATGCTGAATATAGCCAAGTACACTGTAGATTTTTAATTAATCAACAATGTATACACTTGTTTATTAAATTAACCCAGCAATCACTTAAAAAATGGTGACATTTTCAATATATAAAGGATAGACCTAAGTACCATGCTGCATTAAAGATCTTTGGCTGAATTAACCTGACATACACTTATCATGATGGACAGTCTTTTAAATAACATATAAAGGCCACTATTAGAATGTTACCATAAAATCAGTCTGAAGAAACTAAGTGATCACATCTATCAGAGAAAAATCTTAAATCAAGATTTAATCAAGCCAAAAGTTTAAGAGCTGGACACATCAGTGCTGTACTAGACAAACCCAATTACACTTCTTGGACAAAGAAAAGAGCTTGAATGTGGACCAAGATGAATTTACGAACAAAACCAAAATGTCCCTTCATAACAAGTGTGACCATAGCAAAAGAGCAACATCTGATTTCTGTGAACAGTGAAGAACGTCTTGCACGTTTTTGTGTTAAAACAATAAAAACCCAATTACTTCCTGCTGCCAATCATTCCAAGTTTTCAATGTACATAGTTTAGTATTTTCTTCCAACCTGCTAATCAGTTTTGATTTCTATCCCTTATCGTAGTTTGAAACATTCACTTCCTCTAAAGATCAAGCCAAGGTCACAAATGCCAAGATATTACCAGCTAAGGAGCAACTAAAATGTTATCAGAAATAAGAAACTGCAATTAACTTGGTAGAATGAAACCTCACTTTACCTAGAGTTATACTGGTCAAAGTTCTGTATGACTTTAACAGATACAAAGTTCTAAATATAAACTATCTAATATTTAACTGATCTAAAAAAAAAATTGTTAATAAGGCTTCTTATCATACTCCTGAATCAAAACAGACTGGTTATCTTAAGGTCAGCTGTCAAAACCAAGACACTGAAAATCCATTTGGCAAAGTATCACTTAAACACACACATCAAACATATTCCTGTATCCTAAATCTAACAGTATTACTTAAGAACAGTGTTGAAACAAGAATAACTTGACCTACTACTGACATTTCCTATTGCACACATCATACATATATATACATAAATACATATACACACACTGCACACCTACATGGCACACTTTTTTTCTGATTCATAGCTCCTCCATGTGTCAAGAAAGAGTAATGAAATATTCATGCTTATTTCAAAAGACAGTGACCCACCTGTAAGCCTGGAGTAAAAATATCTTGTAGACGTTAATGAGAACTGTTCTAAGGCTGTTGATCTAGAACAGAAACCGATCTATAAGAATATTTTAGTGTCATAATAGGATTGGTTGAAGATCTAGACAAAAACATTTTATGCTAAACTTAAAAGATTTCTTTTATGTAACCAAGTTAACAATGTTGTGAAGGATCAGTTCCGGAATCCTACACTTTATTTGATGTCAACATTTCCAGATTATGTGGATTTTCTCTCAAAATAAACTTTTATGTTAGAACTCAAAGCAGTTTTAATGCTCTTCAAAACTAATCACTGTATTGCCAAACATCCATTTTCATATTCCCACCTGTAAATCAAGAAATAAACTATGACATTTCAGTTTGAGGACTGCACTCAGTTTGTATTTCATGTTTTTCCCAGCTGTTATACTTGAATTGAAGGAAAGACTTGATCTGATAGAAGTACAGCTGTAACTAGAAAAAAAAAGTAAAAAAAAAAGTAGTTACTCTATGGGCTAACAGACTAACTAAATTAAATTCTGTAAAGTAAGCGTCATTTAACTTCCCATGTTACAGAGATTTCCTGCTAACCAATGAGCCAGTAGCTAAAAGATGACCATAATTAAATTCAGTGTTGAAAGAGAATAGGCCCTGTGGCATTAAGGGTACTAGCTAAGGGCTGACTTCAATATCTCAGGGCTGAAAAATTCAGCCTGTTAAAAAAAGCTAAATCAATAACCTTAAAAACAAATTAAATTTATTTCTTAAACACATTGTTTAGCCAGAACATTATTAATTACTCCAGTGACAATCATCTTATCTATATCTATGATCCATGCAATGCAGGAGCTTAGACTTGAAGCCACCTTAGTTACCGGAACAACCGTGGTGTTCCAGCTAGTTAAGTCAAGCTTATCAAAAGCAAAGCCTTGAAACAAACACTGTGGTGGGCTTGGCAGTACTGGGGTTATGGTTAGACTTGATCTTAAAGATTTTTTCCAACATAAACAATTCTGTGATTTTATGATTCTGATTAGTGTCTCCCAGACCAGTAGCATCAATATCCTTTTCAACATAAAGTGCTTCTTTCGAGAACTCAGCTAGTGAATAAATCTCTTTGGCTGTTGAGTTTGGTCCTTCGCTATGGGAAACCATGTCGTATAAACTCCTTTCCTAAAGTGACCAAGCTTTTCTGTTTAGGAAGACTACTGAGGAACTTTACCACTCTATTGGTAGAAAAGCTCCTCCAAATTTTCCACTTAAATGCTTAAGGGATGTTTACACTAAAAATGGTCAATAACCAAGCTAATGAAGCAATATTATCCTTGCGTTTAAACAGTTCTTTCTTTTCGACCTTTAGCAAATACCTAATGCCACCTCTAGTAGTCCATGTACAGGGTCTGCAGAACTTTTCAGTAGGATACATTCTTCCTGTCTGGAGTTCTATGCCACTTCAGACTGCTTTGTGTAAATGGTCAAGGTTGCTAGTTTAAAGAGAAGTTCCCTTCCCCACACATTCTTTCCCATCTGAAGTGCACAGGAGGGAACACCTCTGATGTTGAAAGGATTGCTAGTCCCTCTAGTCTATACCAAATTAATCCCAATCTATTTTGCAATTAATTCAACTACACCATTCCCAACACCCTTGTGCTTCTCCCACTATGTACGAGATATTGTAAAGCTGACACTGGAGTGCACAACTCTATTTACCTGGAGTAATCGCAGTAAACCTCAAGTGTTTTTATATCTAATAACAAACCACACCATGGGATCAATCGACAATCTGGCAGCTGTTTAAATTTGGAACATCCTCGGATATCATCAACAGGAAAATTCACCACTGTCTTATTTGGATTTATTAAAAGGCCATACTCAGGAATACCTGTTGTTAAAGTCCTAAAACAGATATAAACAGTTAGGCTAAGCCCCCTCAGCAAAGCAGACAAAAACTGGCACCATGCTGCAAGACAGAAGATCTTGAACAAAAGGGCAGAAATCAAAGAACGAAGGGAACCACAGCCAACTCTTCAGGTTAAGAAACACAGCTAGAAATAAAGAAAGAGAAGAGATTAGAGGTAAATAAATACATAAAATAAATAAATTTGAGGATAATGGAAAAAAAATTATAGATTAATGCAAATTAAGCACGTCAGCCATGCAACTTGAGACCAGCTATATGAACCACACTCACAGAAACCTCTGAAATAAAAATCACTGAAAAATATGACAACTTACTGTTTTTGGAAGTTAACAAAACCAAGGAGAATCCATATAACAGAAACCTCACTCATCTGACAAAAAGTTTTGAAGGGGAACAGTTTCCCTAAGAATGGTTTCACTGCCAGAAGGCCTGCTGATTACCTGCTACAGCAGTGTCACAGACAAGAAGCAGTTCATCTTACTTGGCAAAGTACTTATGTGCAGGCTTTTAAAGAGAGAAAGAGGTAGGCTCTTCTTGGGGAGTCACAGTCTTAATGCTGTCTCCTCAAAACCAATTTACTGAGTCCCCCAGTTCTAATACTACATTAGGAAAATCTGGTTCTACTCCATTTGTGGCAGAGGGCTCATAGGATCTGATCTGTAAACAGTTCTGGAAATCTCTCACAGAAAAGGCTACTTCTCTACAGAAAATCAATACAGCTGGTACAGAAGTTGATAGAACAAAGATGCAGACAACTTCAAAGGGCAAGATACTGGATCAGCAGTGTCACGGACAAGAAGCAGTTCATCTTACTTGGCAAAGTACTTATGTGCAGGCTTTTAAAGAGAGGAAGAGGTAGGCTCTTCTTGGGGAGTCACAGTCTTAATGCTGTCTCCTCAAAACCAATTTACTGAGTCCCCCAGTTCTAATACTACATTAGGAAAATCTGGTTCTACTCCATTTGTGGCAGAGGGCTCATAGGATCTGATCTGTAAACAGTTCTGGAAATCTCTCACAGAAAAGGCTACTTCTCTACAGAAAATCAATACAGCTGGTACAGAAGTTGATAGAACAAAGATGCAGACAACTTCAAAGGGCAAGAAGGACAATATCTGCACCGCTACTCAAGTGACATTGTGCTGAAAAGACATTATAAGAGATTAATAGCTTGAAGCTCTCATTGTTATTTTGATTTATCTGTAAACCCTAGAAATTTATTTCTATTCTGATAAGGAAATGAGGACAAATGAAGTCTTCAGAATAGACTACCACTATTTCATACAATTTATACTTCAAACTGTACTTAACTGATTGCTCCATCACCTTCCAAGCTCACAACAGAGCTGCATCTTTGTGACTACTGAAAAGCATGATGCAACTGACAAAACTTAGCAGATGCTAAGCTTTTCTTCAAGACCTGTCCTTTGGATATTTATTTTGGTATCAGCTGACCTCCCCTAGGACTGACTGTACACTCCTGTCCACAGTAACCAGGAGCTTCTGGGATTCAATTTTTAAAGAAAAGGTAGTTCTGAAGCACAATGAAGAATTACTGTTTTAAAACTTCAGTGTGAACTGCATACTACCATGCTACTGGTATCTTCAGATACTCATCATGGAATGTTAATGACCAGAAAATTCTTAGCAATATTGGATTGGACCAGAGCTGCATTCTTTCCTGGGGAACAGAAAACAGCAGCATGAGTTCCCAATAAAAAGATTTTGAGAATGGAAATAAGACATCTTAAAAAATTTGAGGGAAAATGGTTTGCAAAGACAACTGTCAGCTGCTTTGGTTAGGCTGCAATACTAATTTTTGCTTGAAGCTCCACCAAGGTTAGTAGGTAGGTCCCTAATTCAAACTTAAGCAGGAATTGCCCACCACGTGAACTGCAACAGATTGTTAACTGGCTATCAAGAATGCAGTTTTAGGATTCTTCCCAAGCACAGGCTACTACCAAGGACTCCAAAACAACCCTTGATCGTTAACTCATAAAACAAATACACCTATGTGCATAAAGATGAAAAATAAAGATGAAAAATAATTACATTAAATATAATAATGCTTACTACTTTGCAGACTATGTCTCTAACAGCATACCTTAGAAAAGTTCTTGCCTTCATTAAATGTGGTGTAAGCAGCAAAAAATCATCAATGAGACGTATTAGGACTCTGTAATCAAGAAGAAACCAATCTTAGATTTTTTTTAATACACAATCTCTTCAAAGGTTTTCATACACTTCAGAGCAACAAATTGCCTGCCTATTTTAATTCACATGATAGAGGCCGATATCAACTCCAAATTGATACTCATGAAGAAATTCTATGTTCTGCTTCTTTCCTAAACATAAATGAAAAAATTAAATAAAATAAAAAAGCAATGAGACTGGCTAGATGAAACATGAAAGAATTTACAACATAATAACTTCCACAATGGCGTCCCTGGATACAGGGCTTTACACTTCTCTAAGGGAGAATTTGCAATATTTTTCTCTATAAGACAAGGGAACGAGGTGCCAGACCAGGTACACAAGTAGATTCTTGATGGGCTTCAACTCTCTCTTTGTTTACCAGGTAATAACTTGTTCATGAAGCTATAGCTTGAATGTAAAGCAGAATACCATCTACCACTGCAAAGGCTAAAATTTTCCAACAGATCGCAAGCATGCCCACATTTTTCTGGTAAATCCTGCCTAGCAGATCTCAGAGAAGTAGCTCTGGAGATGATGATGTACATTCTCATCTTAAAAGCAAGAGTACTGCCATCACTATGCCAGATCAGCTGCACCTTGGCCCATTCAAGCCAATAACCACCTTATTCTTCTGACTTCAAGGACAATTAAATTATCAAGATCATTCAACAGACACTTAAACAACATTCTAAAATCTGCTCTACATAACAACAGCTGCTACATTAAAGAGTGCATTCTTCTGAAGCAGTTTCATAATTTCTGCTTTCTAAACACCCTTTGAAATCAACAGACAGCTTTTTAGACTCACATCAGAGCATCCTCAAGCCTGTAAGAAGTGCTACTTTTCTAGAGAAATGTTTAAAATTCTGAGAGCCAGCAAGCCTCCCAAGAAGAGACACCAGACAGATGTACTTATCTGGAGTACTCCCACAGTTCTTTATTTTCTTGGGGAAGAATTCACAGCAATGAAGGGATATGTCTGAACACAAGTTTCAGGGTCCAGGTCATGACTAAACGCCCTAATCCAGGATTCAGTTGGGGATCTGTTCATACAAAGGTAAAAGGAACCTCAAAACTTTTACAGCTAATTAAGAGGTAAAGTTTTTGTCAGGCTAGCTTTCTGTCAAGCTCCTAAGGAGCAAGCATGTGCAGAGCACAAAGACTAAGAAAATTTACCAAAAATCACACAGGGCTTCAAACAAAAACCAACATACCCCATAAAAATTTGCTATAAAGCTCTGACCTTGATAAAATGTCAAGATTTACTGACAGTGGATTGGAAAGCCCTCAGGCAGAAATCTGGAGTATCAGTATCAGAAAGGATGTAACAAGCATCTCATCTTGTCTGAGGTGACAAGACCACAGATGATGTGGGAATGAGTGAAATATAAACTTCTCAGAAGTACAAGAGCAGCTTGTAAGACTCCTTACAGCATCCCTAAATACAGTACCCTTTCTAAGAATATATCTGCTACCAAAGATACAGGAAAGCTTCTCTGCATTTTCTTCTCAATCTTGTAATGGGGAAATTCTCCCAAAAAAACAACCACAATTTCACTGAAGCTGCAGAGATGTTTGTGCACACCATACTACTAATGAAGTTGGAAATCCTTGAAATTCAAAACTAAATGCCAGAGAAAAATTCTAACACACATACTACGTATTATGAATTACTGTAACAGAGCACAGAATAAAGCATCCCTACCCATCCTGGTTTATTCCAGAGAGCCATTTGTTCTCCATATCTCCATAGAATAAGCTGCAAAGTAAGGTTGACAAAATGGAGCCCTGTGGTATCCCACAGCACTGTAAGTAGTACCTACCAAAGAATAAAAGAAAACAAAAAAAATCAAAACATGTAACAAGATCACAATAGCTGTTAAATATTTTGCAAGCATAACATAACAAATATGCTCTGTGTTTGCCAATTAGCCTTAATTTTTTTTTGTTCTTTCTTCTAAGAATCTACATAGAGATCTAGAAGTTTTAATTTTAAGAGTGAAAAAAACCCCACTAATTCATGTATTCCTTTCATATTAACAAACTCCAGGAGACAACTGCCATTAAATAAAGAAATTGCATAACTGATCTCAAACCACAATGCCTCCTTCTGCTGCAGACACATCCTTCATTGAAGTATTTTAATTCTTTATGCTACATCTTACTGTGACAGCTTCAAGAGAAGTGCTCTTATACACAAAACAAAGTGCACTGGAAGAATTTTCTATGCTGGCATCAACCAAATGGGTATGGCTCACAAAACCCCAGGGAATTTTCACAACATTTCTTTGAAGCAGTGAGGTACTGCTTCAATGGCCATTTCACCACTATTACGACTTGGTGAAGCTGAAGAGAATAAATTCAGACTATGTACTACTTTTGAGCACTGATCTTACCCATATTTTCAGTCATCTGAACACACTCCTGGCAGTAATTTTATTTTCTTACAGACTTTTGTTAAATGCATCAAATGGTATTAAAAGATTGCTTAGAACTCCCCAGCTCAATAATCAGCACTTTTCTCAAAACATCAAGTCAATGTTGACTGACTGTGATTTTTTATGAGAAAAAGAGTCTGTTTACTGAACACATGGGGTTTTTTTGGACAAACAAAAACAAGCTACTTAAAAGGGCTAAGTTCATTTCAGGACAAACAGTGTTTTTTCAGTCAAGTTGTGACTGAATTTGAAAGTGTGAAGCTGGTTTTGTCAGGGTGTGCTTTCTCTGAAACCATTACAATTCCATGAAACATACTCATGTTGGTTAGTCATTACTAAAGTGTGCCACGAAAGCATTCTTATGATCCTGTCAAAGGGAGTGTAAGCATCAATGCTAGAAAAAAATATAAACATGCTTCTATGTGAGTCCTTGAGAGCATTTCTCAGTCTCCCTCAATCCTGTGAGATTCTAAAATAAATATTCTAAAACAAAGATTTTTTTTCCAGAGCAAGAAGCTATTCATTCTAACATAAATTACTCTGACTTTAAAAATAATGATCATGTAAGTACCTTCTTTTTTAGACATGGTACACATTTGCCACCTAGAGGCAAAATACAAGTACCAAGTCAGTATCTCTACCAACACAAGAAGAAGTCAGCATTACTACTTTCTGTAACATCTGATTCTTAATTTTGGAGCTGCCAAATAGTAATTTAAATTCCTATTGCTACTGCCTTTTATTTTTATTGCAACTTGCCAAAGGGCAAAAACATTGCACTTCAGGGAAATTACTAACAAGGCTTTTGCGTGATTGCTTGGATGTTACTCTCACTTTTGCTCACCACTGGGGATCCCACCATTTTAAAGTATATTCCTTTTGAACTACACTTGCAGTTTTAAATGAAGGTCATTCCATATGCTATGGAATAATAGACATTATGAAGGTTATTCCATATTCTGTGGAATAATGCATAGTAACATCAGCCAGGTAGGGAAGAGAAATTATATTAAATATAAAGTTGACTCCAAACTCTTCATGCTTTTTTGGAGCTTAAACTGATACACAAATTTCTCACTAATATGAAATAAAAAAAAACTCTTTAAAACACAGCTATTCAAAATTCCACAGAGCCAATTAAAGGTATCCTCTTAACAGGAAACAAACAAACAAACAAAGCATACTATAAAAGAATAACTAATTTCTTTTTTACCTGTTCCTAATCTCCAGAATGCTGTTATGTATCATTTGAAGGAAAAAATTAAACAGGCTGGAACTTGTCTCATAGAAAGTTAAGCTCTAGAAATGTGACAAAACAAAACAGGATTTGAAATGAAAAATACACTATAACTTTGAAGATACACAGAAATTTTTTAAAAAAGTACTGTAGCAGCTCAAACCCCTATGTAAGTGAAAAAACAAACCCTAAACCCAAGATCTGAACATACATACTAAAAAGTTGCTCATATCCAACAAGTTAATTTTTGTTGGATGTTGGATTTTTTTTTGTTTGTTTGTTTTGTGTTAGGAGAAATCAAATACAACATCTAAACCCACTTTTTTAAGTGCTGGCATAATATAATGGATTATTACAAGCTATAAGACCCTGCTCTTTTGGCCACTTTCTATCCTGTAGGAAAACTTTTGTACGTCATGATCTTTATGATTCCCCAAGTCTTGACACACTCACTTGCCCATTCTGCTGCAAAACACTCTTCAGGTATTACATACACTTCCATGCATGGCTGTCCATCCAATATTTATGGAACATTTTGTTAAAAATTATAAGATAAAAAATCCATTTACAACAATTCAAATACCATTAACAATGACTTAAATCAAATTAAAATAAAATTACTTACTACTTGCACAGATTAGACAGCAGACAAATGCACCCAGCTTTTGATAGAGCCATGCAAGATCACAATTACTTGCATTGAAAAAAGAAGGTGATGTACCAGTGGTACAGACACCTACCCTGACGTGACACTTTTTTCAAAATACTTTGTTTTTTTAAGATAATGACACACAAATTTTTTCAAATGCAAAATATTTTTAAATAGAACACCGCTGCTCATGCAATATCTAGTATAGTTCTCTGAATCTGTTTGAAAAATATACCAAAATGTACTTATACATCAGAGATCCAGCTAGTTTCCATTTTCATCCAGGTACTCTTTAAACTTGCTTATTTTTGTAGGATCCTGGAATTGTACACCAGCCACACCATATATTCTACTCCTATGTCCACAGATACACAAGATCATTTCACTCATATATTAGAAATCACCTTTTGCCAATCTTTGACATTTTCCACTGCCAGGTTTAGAGAAGAAAAATTTGAAGAGGAATTACTAGCTTGAAACAACATATCTGTCTGCTCACTGGCTGCTCAGGAAATCTTGTAGGTTGTTATTATGGAACACCATGATTCCAAGCAAGGAAATGCATGAAGAAACTGTCTGAGCCCATCACCTACTTCTATGCCTTTGTCATGCTGCCTGCATAGAAGGAAGTCTTGAGAACAAGCACTTGTATCACAAGAATGAAAACAGAAGGATGCTTGTTTCTTGCAACAAAGCAACAGTTGGAATAAAGTGAAAATACTTGTAATTTTAAACTATATTTTAATTCACTGAAATCAAGAAATCTCTTTAAACAAAAACTTAAAGAGCTGATCTTGTTTGCTTCGTACTTAACTCCCCCTAAAGAAGAGTTCATTCTCATCAACCTTGACAAGTAATCCTTAAAATCAGCTTTTTAAACTGTTAATTAGGAACAAAGTAAGATCTTAAAGCCAGCAACAACAAAAAGCTGTGCAGTTTGCAAGTCAAGATGCCACATCCTTAGCTACTTGGCTTGTAATACATTTTACTCATTCTTACTTCTGTATGTTTTGGAGATAAGAAGTGTTGATGTCCAGTTGCACTAGACAGTTAATTTCTCACTTGAGGACTGTTGCAAGAAACAATGAAATTAGGAAAGGAAAAAGAAAATACTGGTTAAAATAAAAGTTTGATAAATAATGAGAAAAACTGGGAAAAGTCTAGAAGGACTTTTAGTCAGATTTCTTTCCTGGTGCACTCCTGCCACTGAACACTCAGAGCCTGTTACAAACACCAAAGAAGAGATGACAAAAATCTTTCTACTGAAGAAAAAAGGTAGTGATTAACTAGATGAGAAGTAATGGCACCACATAATATGTCCATACAAGTAAAAATATCAATCTTCCTCTAATTCTTCTGCAGCTTTCTTTTTCAGTTGAAAAGAAGCCTCACAACACTTACCTGTTCAACAACTATTGCATTTCGCAATGAGGCATTCTCCTGAAGCTGGGACACAAACTGCTTCATGTCTGGCATAAAGTCCTTGAAAGTAGAAACCTGTGTAATTGTTTAAATTGTAAAGAAACAAATGACAAAAGCAGTAAAAAATTCAGTAATTGACTTTTCTGTTCAGTGGAGGTCAAAGAATCAGCCTTATTGCATTATTTTAATATAACAATTCTTTTACCATTAAAATGAAATGTCTCACCTACAAATCCCTATTTCCACAACACATTTATTTTTATTTTTACTAAGAGTGAACAAAAATTTTAAAAGGTATGGACTAAAACCAAGCTTTTCTACCCCTGGAAAATATCTAACAGCATTAAAAATATGTTTATTAAGTACTTAACCACTTCAAGGGTGGCTAAATAAAGCTATAAAGGAAAAACTTTCCCTGGACCAAAACATGCTTACAACAGCAAAGAGAAGAAATCAGGCAGTCATACATGTCTCCTATAGAGCCTCCTAGCTCTTCCACTTGGGGTAATCATAATCACAGCGTAGCGCCGTATGCAGTACACGGTTCTCTTCTCAGGCTTCAGGATCCGCGAAATCACTTCCACAAGTTTATTGTGAGGAATGCTATCATAAGCCCTGGACACATCAGCCTGAAACAGAAGGAAGACCTTCCACTACATATTCAGCAATATTGCTGTAAACATTCTGATAGTACAGAGGAAGTATTGCTGTAGTATGTAAGCAAGGCTGAAGGATAGATCACATGACAGTAAAATTATTGCACCATTCAGGCCAAATTTCTGACAAACCAAAAACTCACTGCTTATTTGAAAGAGCTTTCCCCACTCAATTGAGTGTTCCCTTAGAAAGGGATATCCAAATCATCAGTTTTAACACAATTCTTATTACTAACAGAAGATTATACCACATGCAACCTTAAGTCTAACACTAAACTTCTAATCATTTAAGTTAATAACTAATATTTTTATGGTTAAATATTAAGAAACTTGCCTCATCATACAGCCATGGAGATGACACCTTAGACTTTTGGAAAGCTGCAAACCTACATATTTTACCTTTCCCTTCCTTTCCTTTTATACTGGAAACCTACTTATGCTTTTACTTGTCCTAGTAAAACCAGAAAACTTTCTGTAAAAGCAACAATCCTAGGATTATTATAAGATAAACTATATGTCAATGACTCTACCTTTTGTCTAGAAAGATAACAAAACAAAATCATGGAAGTTATTTCAGGGCAGGACAACAAGCAACGTATGAGAGATGAGAACGCAGCTCCCCTACAACACATACAAATCTGTATAATTTACATATTTCTGTATACATTTCCCCAATTCCAAGTTATGAATTGAAATCAAACACATAATGTTGCCTGATAGAAAGAACTGACAAAAGTGCGAAGATGAAGAACAAATTCCTTCAAATAATGGGCTACCATAAGCACTGATTTTTTCCAAGTGGGAGAAGAAACCTCTTGGAAAGACACCAACCAGAAGTCATGTGTTCATTTTCAACAGAAACTAATGATACTGAGATTGAACAGATAAATTTTTTAAGAGACACTGAATTTATTCTAAAGCATGTGGAACATTTCTTTCTGTTTTCATATGGCTCAAAAGGCTATCTGAACTTCTATCTTTCTCCCACTTTGATAACCAGCTAAATGTGACTGCAAAAAATTCAGTGCATGCATAGAAGCAGGAGTTCCTGCACAACAGAAAGATGGACAGAAAAACATCCAGGCAGAGGAAGCTCTACTGCAGGGACACCCACCTACAAAAAACAATCAACCACTCCCATTAAAAAACTAACCAGAGTCTGGAAAGAATGCACAAAATTTTATTTAGAGAAAAAAAATTATGCAGTCAGATTACAGCTAATACAGCTATAAAAGTATCTGCACAAGCTTGTTTTGAAAAGCTAGTTTGAATATGCAATATGTAAAATACATACCTTTACACAGTAGAAATGAGGAATTTCACCACCAGATTCAAGAATCTTTGTAACAAACTGCTTCCATATCTTGTAGATATCATCTTTCCCAAACACTGAAGAGCCTAAAAAACTGGTGTTTATAGTCCGTTCATAATTTAACACACTAAACAGATTTTTTAGTTGAGTGTTGTAATGATTCATCTAAAGAGACCAAAGAGAATCACCTTAAATTATGCTGAAACACATTAAATTCTTTGCAATACAAAGATTATAAATTTAAATGAAGTTTGACATTAAATTTATGTATTTACTATATTATTTGGTTCAACTGAAGCTTTCAGAAAGCCTGAATATCACTGCAGTAACTATTTCAAAGTGATAAAACAGTCTCAAGAGATTTTTCTTTTGGTACAGTTAAATCCTATGGAAAATGTTTTGTTCCTATACTTGACTCTTGGAAATCAAGGTGTAATAGTTACAGTGATAAACAGATGAATGTCAGCAAACAAATCCACTATTGATCTGAAAAAAACTTCTTAAATATTATTCATTCTCTCTGCTGGAGATAACAACACCAACAGGAACAGCAAAGAGAAGGTGTGCTCTGAGATTTTATGCTAACTCCAGCTGCACCATCAGCTGGGCCTCTCAAGGGTACTTTATTCAAGTAATTGAGCAAAGACTTAACTCAGCTGTGGGGATAGTCAAGCACATCAGAGCAGCACTGAAGTCATGCAGGTAGATTAGCTCTGTAAACACCATAATGTGGAATGTTGTGTGAAATAACACTCCACAGTTCAGAACAGCTTTTAGCTAATGCTCTTTTCACCTGGTCTGGGATCACATGGTCTGAACAGTTAGTGCTAAGAAGCTGTTCACATCTCACCCATTTGGGGAACATTCAATCTTGGGAATGAGACTCAGCCTTAAGGAAAAGCAATTAATTCATCTGGGCAAGATAGTGAAACTGGCCTGTCATTATTCCTTCTGGCTAACTGCCCTGTTAAATAGATTATTCTGTGCCCTGAGTGTTCTGTCTGTTCCCGCACTGCAATTACTCTCAGCTTCCTTCCTATCTTTCTGCCATGCTTGTTCCAGCTTCCTGGCCCTTCCTTAGATCCTCTTCTGTAATGCACCCAGCTCACCATTGTTCACTGGCTCCATAGGCAACTTCACAGATCAACATGCACCATCAGTATTAAGGCAAATCCTAACAGGCCATATCAAAAAAACGGGATTACCTTACAAGCCATGTTATTCTATTGGGCTCAATTCCTTAAGGTAGATTTGCAAACAGAAGTTTGTGATGCTGGAACCAGAGGCTTGTGGTAATTAAGCATTGGAAAGGGAGAAGCTAAGCTGCAACAGATCCATTCAGCCATTTTGATCAGAATGTTACAGTCCACCATGTTAAAACTAGTTTTAGGTAACAAAAATCCTTATTCCATTTTATTAGTTACTGAAATCAAATGCATATAAAACAATGAAATGAATAAAAACCTTCTTTTCTCTGCTTTCCTTGCTGAGAGCTTGTGGTTCGACAACACCGCTCACTTTTACTATGGGTCTCAACCCATTTGGTTTTGGAATAAACCGGAGCTTTGATGCCACAGGAACAAATTTTTTTTGACGGATAGTTTCAATCTCCTCTGAAGACAGAGGCCGTAGCTGTACTTTGACAAAATGGTTTCTAAAATACAAATATACACTTAGTGTAAGCAACAGGAAAGGCAGAAAACTAAAACATTTAACGTCGTTATGATAACTAAAGCCAAGTATTTTTCTAAGATAAAACAAACACTAACCTCTACAGAAAGTGACATGAAATTCTGAATTTCTGAACAGTATCATGATATCTTAATGACAATGTAATACAAAAAGAGACCATATAATACTGCTTGATGCAAATAAAAACCCTTATTAACACAAATTAAAATTTAAGCAGACATTTGTGGAATACATATGAACATTATGAAATATGTTTTACACAAGAAACGGGAAGTGGGATATTGCTCAAGGTTTCAGAAGTTTGAAAGGCATTAACAAAGTTGAAAAGAACCTTCCGAAAACTACTCTAAGACAGCTCCTGGGAAGAACATACAAACTGTAATGGCTGTTCTACTCCTAAGAGTTAGGGGATCTACCACTTATTAGGTGCTGGGATACACTGACAACATAAGGGCCTTAGGTATCCAGGACTCTGATGAGCTGGCGTCAGGTGAAGCAAACAGCAGAAAATAATAAAGAACCAAAGGTGCCTAAGTCACAGGTTCTGGGCTTCCCAAGCTCACCTTAATGGGAAATATGTTTTCTCAGATCCCCCCCTCTGGATTTACAGTTCCATGAAAAAATCGAAATCAATACTTTTCCATACAATGAATCAGGAATATGGTGGTGGAGCAAAAGCCCTTGTTTTTACTTAAAATGCAGAGTTAAAGTACCTTACCTGCAACATAAAAGACTTGGATAAATCTCCTGCACTGCTTGTATTGTTCAGATGGACAAAATGTGTCCTACAGGCTGATGGCTATGATATTACCGTGGGAAGGAAGGGAGGCAATTCAAGTCCTCACAAAAGACTGGACATCAGTCTAAATTTGCATGAAGACTTTTTACATCCCACATAATCCAACAGGCTGGTTTAGCAAAAGGAGGCCACACTATTACAAAAGGCAGTGGGTAAATGGTGGAAACTTGGTAAAGATGCTCTAGGAGACACCTGAGAAGCCAAGAATGCAGGTAAGAGAGGCACACAAATACTTCTTTTGTATGCCTATACAAGTCAACTACAAGCTCATGATCCATCTGCTTGGGACTCTTGGTGTCTGAGAGACACAGTGCATGACACCTAGAAGGTATAGCGGCATGCAGGGCCAGTGAGTTGAGCTACTGAAAAGAGTTTTGAGGATTAATATTCAAATTTTTTCAAATTAAATTCCTGGTACAGATGCTGCCGAAAGGAAAGCAGAAATGATTGCTTTTCCACAGTGAGGGATCACTACTCTTTATAGAATTATATTCTTTGCTGAACACATCTACTATACTATTAGATAGATAACCAGGATAAAACAAGTCACTCCAGTTCAACAGAAAAAACTTAAGGATCATATTTCCCTCCCTTTACAGCTCACATTCAAGACCACAAGGAAAAAAAAGTGCAATGAACCTCTATCACTATACTAAAAAATATGGCTTCCTTTGAAAGTGAAGACAAAAACCAATTATTGCCAGACCTTCACTACTCCCTCTGGCCAGCTGGAGATGCCATTTTGCCTGCAGCAACATTCATTGCTTATTTCATGGCATTTACAGCAGTGCTGATGATTTTGAATGTGCGCTAATCTAGCAGACACTGAAGCACACTGCTCTCACTGGCACTCACAACGCTGTTAAGCACTGAAACTTGAAGGAACTTGACTAGATGGTCCTGCTGTCCTTTGACATCTCACCTCAATCTGATGGGGAAGATTCAGAATTTCTGCAGTGTTTTTAATCCTCAGCAGCCACTGTGTGTGGCAAGGGCAGAGATGGCATGAGCTTTAGGAAAACAGGTGTTCTCACCACTGTGCTCATTATTTTTAACTCACAATTTTACACTCTGCAGGCTATTTAACTTGAAGCAACTGTATCACAAAAATGCTGAATTTTTCTTAGCAAATTCTGCTTTTAATTTGGGGACTGAAGTTTGGTATAGCTTCAAAAATTAATACAAAGTTGTCTGTTCACAATGACAGCACACACTGATCTCCACCAATACAGCAAAGCTAATATACAGATCCAGAGCCCCTCTCAGAACCCTGCTCCATATCCTTGAGTGGGATTCTGTCCAGGATGATCTACTCAAAAGGACAGTCCTTCAAGACGAGGATTTACTCCCTAGTGGCAATGCAGTCAGTGCAAAGGTAAGCTCACAAGTACGGTCCAGGTCCACTCAGTCCAGCCTGTTCCATCCATTCTCTTCCTCCAAAGGAGGATGCAGAAGAACTCAACAGGAATCAGTGGCTACCAATGCCGTCCTACGAACCAGCTCAGAGCAACTGCCTTGGGCAGCTCCAGCTGAGGAGAGCCAGAACAAACACAGAAGATCCATTAGGGCAACAACTGAGATCACCAGATACTCCTCCTCCAGAGAAGATGGAAAAAGCTCAACAGCCTTTGGCACTACTTCACCAGCAGTGCCTGGCTGGTTAAGAGCAGACAGCGTCTGAACAGCCTCAAAATGGCCAAGGCTGTCCTAAATACCTTGTATCCCAATATGTCTAAAGACCTATGTTCCAATTTCTTTCCTCCTATGTGAAGTTGGCAGCTGGCCACCTCTATGAATGCAAGAAGCTGGGCTCGTGGCAGACCTCACATGTGAATTAGCAGTGCTGAAAGCCCTGTCAGTGAAGCTTAACTGCAGCTGTTGGAATGAGACTCAGAGTCCTTAGAAGCTATGATTCCTGTAGCCAAAAGCAAACATCCTGTTCTTAGAACACGCCTTTGGCAAGCATGCAGCAGCATTTCCTTAGGATGTTTCTCCAGCTTCCAACAAGTTTAGAGACCTTCCAAGTAAAAGGTGAGAAGGGGCTTCCTGCGTGGTAAGGAAATATGTAGGGAGGAAATCAGAAGAAACAAGACCCTAGATTAAGATCTTTTTAGTTCAAAGCACCTTACACATTGAGTTTTTCTGGGAAACTGGGAACATAAACAAAAGAACTAAATCCCAAGTTGTTTGCTTTTAACCACAAACCCCACAAAAAATCTATTATTTACTACTTCCATTATTTTTTATTGTATCTCTACTATATGAAAGTCAGTGCTCGATCATATTTTGTGCCAAAAAATAGTCTTTAAGTACATTAAAACTGCATAAAACAGTTTTAATTGCAACACTACAGCTGTTAGTTTGAAGACAAGACAAACAGAATGTGTGGGACTGAAAATTACATTCTATTACTATTCAAAGTGCATTTTCTGTGCTACAACTGCAAACAAGATCAAGACCCCATTAAGTGCAAACACAAATGCAAAGAGTGGCACTGGAGATATCAATGTTGAAATCAGAGAGTAATGGGGCAGGAGGGAAAAAATCACACATATAACATATAACATTGTGGACCAAAAGATCAGAGCAAAAGCAAAAGGTTCAAGTGGCTGTTCAAAACAGCCATTAAAACACAAGACATTAAGTATGATAATTTTTCACAGTTCCAAAGCTCTCTCAGATACCAACAATTTATAATGAAAACCTGAAAGATGTGAACTAAGGAGATGGGTGCACAACACTGTTCATTAAAATTGCCTTTCCTATTTTCTCACTTAATTGTTTAAAGTTTTGTCTTAAATAATGCTCTAACTTAAATACATGCGTGCATTTTTAAGACCAAAAAAAAAAAACCAGCATGGAATCTCAGCCATACTAAAAAAGGAGCTGTGGCTTCTAAAACAACCCTTAACCTTTGGAAAAAAAACTGTAAATCCACTATGCCACTGTGTGATTTTTATGAATAGAGTACTACAGCATTTCAGCAGAGCCTTGTTTTTTCTTTTTCTAAATTAAAGTAGTCGAAGGAAATGGAGTATTTTTAAAATGAACTTTGATTTTAAAAGGTTACTTGATTCTATCACTATGTTTTACTCATTGTTAAAATGTATAAAAACTGGACTTATAACAAAATCCTCTTCATACTGGATTTTATTATTGCAAAGATTTCTAATAAAGAAGTATCAATTTGAATTAGTTTTCTCAAACAAAATACTTCTGAAATTACTAACTGTGCATACTACAATCATAGGATGAATTTTCCTCTGGAAAATGAAGCAAATAAAATGAAGATAAATGGGCAATAAATTAAAGCAGAAATATACCTTTACACAACAAAACACATGATTTCTACATGTCCATTAAAGGTTAGTTTTCTAGTGTTACCTAATTCCAATGTTCTGTAACTTGCCCCAGATAAACTTTCGGTAGTAGAAGAGCATGTTTTTCTGGAACATGGTCTCGGTGATATAGAAAAATGATCTGAGCAATTCAACAACATAGGTACCCATCAGCCAGTACAGGAATTTGGCCAAAAGTTCTTCACGGAAACAATGTTCATCGGCAGGAACAAAGTGATCACCTTCAATAAATAATTCAAAGGTAGTTATAGTAACTATCAACTCTTAGCATGAGTAAAGAAAGAGAACACACAAACAACTTGGGTAACGTTCTTGCCCTAGCTTGAGGTCATGAGAAAGAAAAAAGGTAAGTACAAACCAGTACACAGGTGACACTACAGATTTCCAAGGCATTAAATAATGCAACTGACCCAAGGTTAAAGCATAAACACAGGAACTAATCTGCAGTGACAAACTGACACATAGAGGACACAAATACATGCCACAGTAGCCCAAAGACTTATTTTCTTATCCCAACATCAATTGTGCAAGATCATTAATGCACAAAGGCAAGATTATTGTGAAAGGAGAGGTAAAATAAAAAGAAACAAGTCTACTACAATATAAAACTTTAAAAAAAAAAAGGAAGGAAAAGACTGAAAATAACATAGGTATACTATGAAAATTAACAAAAGTAAACTGGGATGATTTGAGGTTAAGAATGATATTCAGATTTCCCAATTACATGAAAATTAACTAATTATAGGGTTAGGCTTTATTTCAGACATCCTAAAACTTATTGTTGCTGTCAAAGAAAAACAGAAAAAATATAAATCACCCAAAGTCTATCAGTACTTCCAACATTTAGATGGGACAATTATGAACCTACAGCATTCCTAACTACTGCCAAATTTAAGGTCACATGGTAATTACATCTAAATACAGACAAACAGGGAATAAGCCCTGGGCTACAATACTGATGTTTTGGCCAACTTTCAATAATAACGTCTCCAATTACATTTAAAGAGTAGAATTTAGCCCAAATGCAACAGGATTCTTAAAGAAACTATGCAGAAATATTAGTTTAGCTGCATAGCACAAATCACAGTTATGGCACAAATGTGTTAAAAAAGCTTAATTTTGATGCAACAGACCTGACAGTAAAATTTATAAAATGGAAATAAATTTTCAGTTTTCTACTCTGTTTCATTTTTGCATGCTCCAGGGCAGAAACATGTATTTACAGCACTTAAAACAAGACTAGTACTACTTCAACAGAAGCTAGTTAACATCAGGGAAAAATTTCACTGCTGGAAAAATCTCTAACTGAAGAGTTGCAATATGCAGTTGTAATATACAAGTTGAATCAGGATGCTGACAGGTAGGTAGCTGCCCTGGAAATTTCTTTTCTAAGTTACTGACAACAGATGTAAACAATGACTACAATTCAGGAAATTCTCAAGAAATCACTACTACTTTGGAGGAAAAAAAAAAACCCACCTACAGTGCAGCAAAGCAATTCAAAGCATGTTTAAACATCAGGCACATGAGAGTACTTCTTTCTGTTTTAGTGAAAATTAAAATAAGCCTATATATTGATTTGCCTGGAATATTGCCAGAGAAGAGGGCACTACATTTTCCAAAGATCAGATGTTCCAAATTACTATGAATCACACACATATTTTACAATAAAGCCTTTTTAAATACTTAACTCCTCAACATTTTGGAAAGTGTGGTTTTGAACCACAGTATCTGAATAAAGAAATACTGTTTCATAGAATTAAGAGTTTCTTATTAAAGTGTAACCTCCCTTACTTTTGACATCAGTTCTCAAACATCAGACTTTTGATCTTCCTCCTACACTTGGAAGAACCTGTAACAGCTTCAAAATTATTGCACCTTTTAACAAAAGAACACCATTTTCAGCTCACATTACTGTAGGATCCAAATACAATACCAGGCAAGAATAAATACTCTAAGCATAACAGTTAAGGGAGTGCAATCCATATTGCATTGCATAGATGAAGAACAGAAGCACAGAAAAATTAATATATGCACTAGATCCTACAGCAATCATCCCAGAACAATGGCTTCAGCCTAGATTTAAATGCTGGGATAGAGTCTGAAAAACAAACTCAAGGAAAGGGAGATTCACCTGTCATTTCAAGAGGATTAAAGAGAAATGGATTCATACACAATCTGGAGCAATCGGCTGTTGCCCTCATGAGAGCTTTTCAGCCAGGCACCACTTAGCCTGGGGACTTCTGCATCACCAATTAGCCAGGCTGAAGCAGTGCTCAGTAAGGCACTCTTGATCCTGGAGAAGGACTCTAGAACAGGTGATAGATGACAGCCCTTTTCACACGACATGTCATGATAGGACAAGGGGGAAACCTTTTAAACTGAAAATATTAGATTTAGATTATGTGTTAGGAAGAAATCCTTTACTGTGAGGGTGGTAAGGCACTGGAACAGATTGCCCAGAGAGATTGTGCATGTCCCAGCCATGGAAGATTCAAGGACAGGCTGAATGGGGTTCTGAACAACCTGGTCTAGTGGAAGGTGTTCCTGCACATGGCAGGGAGGTTGGAACTAGATCTTTAAAGTCACTTCAAATACAAACCATTCTGTGATTCTATAGTAGGCAATCCCTGTACTGAATGGGTCTCATATCTTTCTCACAGGGTTGATGTGAGAGAGTAAAAACCCTGGGCTTTTTTAGCAGAGAACCTGTGCCACTGCAAGTGTCTTGATTTGCTTTTAGTTCTTTCTGAACTCCTACAGTAACAAACAGGCGACAGTTCATTCCTTATGTGCTTAGGTCACACTTCAATGGATTTTCTGAGTTACTGCAATTTGAATTAGTAGGAGAGGACGGGAAAGAGTTTTGGGTTTTGATTAGCCCAGGTTCTGAATTAATGTTTATGAAAACATCATTCTATTAAACACAAACAGCACGAATACAAACAAGTTTTGGAAGGAAGACAAGCTTAAGTGTCCTTCCACCATCAGTTACAAACACTAACAGGTTTGCTCTCTCAGCTATGGTTATTACCAAGGAACTCAGCAATTCCGAGTCCAGATTCAATATCCTCCCCTTCCCACCTTAACCCTAAACACCAATCATCTGACAGCCCCACCACTTAGTTCTTTAATATAAGAAGTACCTTTGCCTAGACGAAGCCACATGCAGTCATTCACTCTCATCCTCCACATCAACTCCCGCAATGAAACCTTAGCAAACCTCCCCCTGGAAATGAACACTTTGACGTTTTTCAGAAACCGGCACTTGTTGTGGTTTGAACCCCAAAGCTCAGCAGGAATGACCTTCTCCAGGCAATCCCTCACAAACATGTACACCTGCCAGTGGCTGCTGTGCTGCTTGAGGAGCTCCGTGAGGGCTGAATCACGTGCCCCTCGCGGGTTTTGCTCCTCACTCGGTGGCAACTCCTCACGCACAGATTCTGCGGGGGCAGCACCTAAGTCGTCTGGCACATCAGTGTGACCAGATTCACATCTGCTGCTTGCCACACACTTAGCAGGCTCTTTCCCGAACTGTTCTGCTTGCTTCTGAAACTCTGCTTCCCCAGGCAAGGCTGCCTGACAAGACAACTTGATTTTTTTCATACTGATTTCAGATATCGAAACGGGGCAATTTTTTCTCAAGAGAGCTAAGTAAGCACATTTCCCATGGTTCTCTAGCAGTTTCTGGAATGTATGCCTCATTTGCCGGAAGCGTTTGGGCAACCTCTTCTTTCTCCGCTTGTGTTTTGGCAGACTTTGGTTGTACCTTTGCTGTACCTGATTTTGGTTAAAGAATATAGCTTCTATAAGCCATCTTCCACCTGCCTGAGAGCCCTGCAAGCGATTCAATACAAATGATTTAGGAAAACATTCTTGGAAACTCCTGCAAGAATACAGAAGAGACTTCCTCCCAATGCATGCTTCAGAACTCAGAAGTCTATTTGGTAACTTCTTGGATAAATGAGGTTGGGGATTTTCCTGCTCTCTGCATTTTGAAGTACCCTCCACAGGTTTGGTTTGTCCTGAAGCCAACTGAGATTCATACGTACAAATCTCTGCTCTTTTCCTATAGAATTCTGCTTGCATTTCAGTGTTGGACTCTAAAGGTTTGTTACTCTGAAATCTCTGCAGAAGAGAGCCTGCCACAAACTTCCTCCTGCCACGAGATGTGTGAACTAAAGAAGGACCAGACACAGCACTCTTACTTCTTTCAGAAATACGGGGGGTTTTAATGACACTTTCAGAACGTGGTGCTACATACCCAGTTTCAGATCTCTTGGAACTACTTTGGTTTACATCAGGAAGACTACAAGTCTTTTCCTCTCTCACTTTCTCCCCTATTTTTGCCCTCTTGGCTGGAATTTCAGATTGTTCTCCATTAATCTTCCTTTTCAGAGATGGAGCTGTGGCTGAAACACATGAACTGGAACTACTCTGTTTTTCCTGATCTTCAGTAACCATTCTGATCTGTTTGCTTGCTTTAGAAACAGCTTTTGCAGTACACTGGTCAGTGGGCACTAAGCTTCGTCTCTTGTTCTTTCTTTCATTTCTCATTCTGGAGACATTAACTTCACATCTTTGTCTGTATGACTTTAAAAGATAATTTCTATGAAACATAAGCCTTTTCCGCATATATTTAAGCAAGCTAGTACGTTTATACTTAGAGAACCTTTGTCTAACAAATACCAGGGATGAGTCTACACTATGTGAAATAAGTTCATAAACGGGTTGCCCACAAACTTGGTAACAATTACTAGGGGGAACCAGCATAAAGACTGCACAGTGTTCCAACAAATACATCATCACATCATCCCCTATCCGGCTCAACAGTGTCTCCCAGAAGCCGCTGATACAAAGAGTTTCTGTGGCAGTGTTGGGTAGGTAGCTGTGTATCTTTGAAAGTGGCATGACTGGGAATTGAGAACTGTTTTCATCCGGTAAGGAGTATCCATATGCGAGGATATTCTTCTTCTTTTTTTCACACAACCTCTGAACGACTCTTGCGGTGACCTCACTCTGACTAGATAACTGAAGAAACAAAGAAAAAAGAAAATTAGCTTTTTTCACTTATTCCTCCGTAAACCACAATATACCCTTTAAATAAAAACACATGCAAAGAGACCCAGCCCTAGACACCAGTTTTCAAAGCAGTATTAATTATTCACAAGCATCATACCCAAAAATTAAGATTTTCCAAGCGTAATGCAAGATGTTCAACGTAAGCCAACGACTTGAAGGAAATCTTTTAACATCTGCCCTTCTGACCCTGGCTTTTACGCCCAGGAAACACCCTACACACTGTTCCCGTTGAGTCCCCCAGCAGCTCAGACTCCACTGCCTCCAGTGAATCCGTGTTCGCAGATCCACGTTTGCAGGCACGCATACGTGCTCGCGCAGGCTCCAACCTCCAGGGAACTAACGCTAATTTTCTTGAGGCCTCCATTTCCTTTCATGTAAAGGAAAATTCAACGAAACGACCCAGCACACAATTCCAAAACCCATTTAACAAGTTGTCCTGGGTTTGCAACATCTGCTTCCTACCACAACACAGTTTGGCTCATATGGCGCTAGGAAAAAAGCGGTCTTCCCTCTCTGAAAAGCTTTTCCTCCGCTTAAACACCGACCGTTCTACCCGCCTCTTCTTTAATCTCTCAAGACTGGGGTACTCTCCATCCCCAGTCGCTCCCCGGCCACATTCGGCTTGTTCATCCCTACCCGCATGGGCAGGCGGAGAGTCAGGGAGCCCCAGCACGCAGAGCTGCAGCGCTATCCGCCCGCCCTACGCCGCCACCCGGGCCTTGCTCTCCCACCCCCAAGAAGAGGCAGGGGCTGATTCCCACCGCTCCCCGCTGGCTCTGGGGCCGGGATGGAGCGGCGCACGGCTGTGGGAGCCGGCCAGGCCCGCCCGGCAGCAGCCAGCAGGGGCCAAGGGCCGCCGCGCCACCCCCGCGCACGCACGGAGCGCGGGAAGCGCCGTCCCCGGGAAGCCCCGGCAGGACTCTCTGAGTGCCCGGACCCCTTCCTACCTGCTGGAAGGTGAAGGGCCGCGGGATAGCGCGGGCGCCGCGGGGGACGCACACGAGGCACTGCCCCACGAAGTTGCGGTAGCCGGGGGCGTCGTCGGCCCGCAGCACCTCGGCGTCCCCGGCGCCGCAGCCGTCCCCCAGCCGCCGGACGAAGGTCTCCAGCGGGACGGCCTCGGCGTAGCAGCGGCGCAGCGCGGACAGCACGGCCGTGAAGGGCTCCCTGCCCGCCATGTTGGGGCCAAAGGGGGCATGGGTCCACCTGGCGCAGCCGCGGCGCCCGTCCGACCCCGCCGCTGGCCCGCCGGGCATCGCGGAGCAGATGCTTAGCGATTAATTAATGAATAAAGAAAAGCATTAGGTGGTGAGGCGGGGGGAAAAGGAAGCAGCCAAAGCATCCTTTTAAAGCTGCGGCGCGGCTGCCGCGGAGCGGTGCTCCCCGCGTGGACGCGGAGCAGCGGCGGGCGGGGCCGGGCCGGGCCGGGCGGGGCCGGGCCGCAGGCCGCTGTCCAGCTCCGCCAGTAGGGACAGAGCGCGGAGATTCCTCTGCGAGGAACGCTTTTTCCTCCTCAGGATCAGCATTCCATTGAGGATCTATCTGAAATAAGAGCAACTGTAGGAGAGATTGTGGTGGAGATGAACACACTAAACCCTACAAATACCGAAGTGGTTCACCGTGTACTTTTTCATCAAACTCATGAATGAAGAAGCCAAATTGCTTGCGGTAGTGTAACCTCCTACTCCAAATTTGCCTTGGTGTCTAAAGACTTCATGATAGAAAACTTGATGCCAGTCTGTGAAAGAGATTGCAGTACAGTCCTGGGGAAGTGCAGCTCTATAGGCCCCATGCCCTATTCACCTGTCTTCCAGGTGAATGAGTAGAGATCCTAGAATTATAGCATGGTTTGTATTGGAAGGGACTTCAAAGATCATCTAGTTCCAACCCCCTTGCCATGGGCAAGGACAATATATGTGAAATATCTGTGCAATAACAGAATTAGGGGATGCTGGGAGAAATACAAAGCGCTCAGCGAACATTGCTCCCATAAGGAGTCCTGCCCTTGAGTTCTGTCAAGTGTTGGAAAGACATGAAAATTATTTGGTCATCTGGTTGATATATATTACTTGAATTTCCAAAAACCTTTGCAAGAAAATGTGGCATGACACATCTCATAAATTCAACAAACCTGGGCTTTTTCATAAATGTTTGGGCAAGACAGAGTTAGCATTCTACCACGGAGGGTGAGGTGACTGACTGTCTTCTACCCAGGCTTCATAGTTAGGTTGCTGTAAGTATCCTGCAGAAATATAACAGAGTTCTCTCCTTCCCAAAGACTAGAGAGTACCTCATCTTTGAGAGGAATCATTCAACAGATCCCATTGTAGAGAAGGTTATTTTTTCAGGTGTGTCACTAGGTGAAGGAGATGTTAGTGTCCCTATGGTCATGGACAGTCTTGTCCCTGGTAGAGGTGGTGCCATGCAATGAGTAATTCTCACCAGTGGCTGGGACAGACGTGTGGAAGTTGTGGGTCTGCTGAGACACAGCAATGTGTACCTTCCCTTCCTCTAGTGAAGCCTTTACAGACTAGGGAGTGAGGTCAGCACCACTCCACTCATGGAGGACTGGCCTCCTTTCCTACTAAAATAATGAATTTCTTCCTGGGAGCAAAGCAGTTCATCTCCTAACATCAGCATGGCTGTGGAGTAAACTCCCTGGCACCTTGTGACTTACAAGTTGAGGCTTGCCAGACTCTTTTAGCCCTTAACAGAGACGGGCGCCAGCTGGCATTCCAAAGGGAGGCAGAGCAATAACACCAGGCTTCATGGGACCTCAGCGAGGCTGTAAATGAAATACTGTACTGCCACTGCATACTGAGGGGCAGGGGATTTGTAGACAGTCTGAATCCATCAGCATCTGCACCTAGGGTAGTGATAAAGCTGTTGCCCTTGGTCTGACCTCTCTGAAGGATCTATTTGACATGTATTTTCCCCCATATGTCTGTTGCTCCAAAGGTGACAGCACCTTTAAGGTAGAACGTTGCCTGTGACAAACATAAGGTTCACCATTTCCTGTGAGAAGCATGTTCAGGAAGAAAGTAAGAGGAAAAGGAAGAAAAAGGGATTAATTAATCTCCACCAGCTGCTGGCAGGTCCCAGCCTGTGCCTCTTCCTGATGCCTACTTGGTGGTAATAACCACAGCAGTGGTGGAGGGGGAGAGGGCTGCTGCAGCCAACTAAGCGGGGCTCTTTCCTCTTTCTTTTCACAGGTACCACGTGTTTTTCTGTGTGTCTACCATTGGGCTGGGGAGAGAATTCAGGAGGGAGAGGGGGAATGAAGGAAAACAGAAGAAGAGTAAGGTTGATTTTCTGGCTTTTGGGGGTTTTTTTGGAGGGGTGGCAGGATGAATAAGGAAAATAGAATCACAGAGACATAGAATAGCTGAGGCTGAAAGAGCTCTATAGAGGTATCTAGTCCACTCTGCTGCTCAAAGCAGGGTCACTTAGAGCAGATTGCCAAGTGCCATGTCAAATCAGACTTTAATACCCTCAAGGATGGAGACTCTACAACCTCACTGGGCAATCTGCTCCAGTGCTTTATCACACTTTAAAAAAAATCATGTTTAAATGGGATTTCTTCTATTTTAATTTGTGCCCACTACCTCTTATCCTTGTTATAAATGAGAAGCTTCACTAGGCCAATATTCAAGCAGCAATCAATTTATTAATTAATATGGTAAAGTATGAGCAATACAGCACTGGGTACAGTGGGGAAGTTTTCTCTCCAACTGCACACTGATAGTTGAGGCTTACAGGTATTTATAGGGGTACTCATAAGCTTTCTCAGCAGTTTCTATTCCCAATTTTCACGTCACAATTCTATACACTATTGTGATCTAGTTTTTGTCAGGATGTATCCCAGAAAGGAGTATCCCCAGATGGTGGGGGTCCAGCTTTTGAAAGAAGTCTCCCAGCTGGTGAGGTCCAGATTCCAGATGTGGGTCCAGCTTTTGATTGCAAGGACTATAAATCTCATAACAGTGATGTCCAGCTTCCCTTGGTTGAAACTATCAATCCTTGAGTTGATGTTCATCTTCCTTTCTCAAGCTGCTTTTCACTGCTTTGTTAAGTCATCAAGATAAGCACGTTTCCTTTTTATATATTCTAAAGCTATAGTTTCAAAGATCCTTACTACAAGCAATATTCTAAAATTATACTTCAAAAGGTTATTATTGCAAAACTCTTTAAGGCTTAGCTACAAGCAGAAAGTTCCTGTCAAACAGCAACATCCTTAAAGCTTTAATTCAAATACTCCTAAATCAGCTTAAGATTTATAAAGGTTAATTGTGAACAAAGGATAGGTTCAAAGGCCTTCTTCCATCTTTACTTCCTCAGTTATTTATTAGAATTCGTCTTTATAACTGTCCCATGGTCAGTTTCCACACATATCACAATCACAAATACACATGTTGCCTGTATGTACCTGACACGAAACATAGCTTTGTATTTCACATCCTGATACTGGATACCATTGAGAAGAATTTCCATTGAGAAGAATTTGGACCCATCTTGTATTTATTCACTTTGATATGATCCCTACTGAGCCTTTACTCTCTGGACTAAATAATTCCTTTGATATGATCCCTGCTGATCCTTCCTCCAACTGACTCACAATCTCCTCCTATGTCAGATTGTCCTGCTCCCTAATTACCTTAGTGACCATTAGTGGAAAGTTCTCTGTGATCACTACAATATCACTCTTTTACTGGGAACCCTAATCTGGACAAATAATGGGGTCACTGTTCTCAGCAAAATTTATGCTTCAAGGCATACTTAACCTTATCCACATCCTGCTTTGCATCCAGTTTCTGTGGAAGGGGGTTACCCTGGGAATGGATGATGGTAGTGGAATGATAAAAATAAAACAGTTTTTATGGTCAACCAACAAAGTTAAAGGAAATGAGATGTTATGTTTGGGTCCAGCTTCAGTAATGGCCATTTAAAGAGGCAAGATTTCTGCAAATGTGCCTCTGTTTTCAAAGCGCAATTTGAGAAGGATAAAGGAAACTCTTAGAAGAAATGTCACAAGATGAGTAAGTAAGGTGTCTTTCAAAAACCTGTGTTCAAATAGAAAAGTGTTCAAATAGAAAAGTGAAAAACAAATCAAATAATATCAGATTAGTTTGATTAATAACTTCTCAAAGTTGAAAGAAACATGAAACATCAGAAGTGGAACAGCTTGCCAGGAAGTCTATAAGGCAAAAATAGAGAAGGAACACTTAGGAGAACTGTGGCAATACTGAGGAATTTGAGGGCGGCTCCTGTGTCAAATCTCCGCACACAGCATGAACAGTCTCAAGGTCAAAGTACTGTGAATTATGTTGTTCAAGAAAGATGGAAAAAATACAAAAAATTGGTGAGTCTCTATAATTAGATGGTAATTACCAGTGAGTTTAAAGGGACTCAGGAATTACCCACGTCAAGACGGAAAGTTTCTGTATCACAGGCTATGAAAATACGTAACCTGACATCAAGATTCCTGAAGGATATCATGGGGACTACCTAGCAGTAAATCTGAAGACTCAGCTGTGAAAATTGACTAACTGTAGTAGAGAATGGATTTCATGGACTTGTGGATAACTATGGCACATTGGAGGAGTCAACATTACATTTGCTGAGGATGACATTATATGATACAAGGGGACATTCCTTTGGTCAGTTCAGGTCAGTTGTCCCAGCTGTATCCACTCCCAGATTCTTGCCCACCCCAGCCTGCTCATGTTGGAGGCAGGGTGGGAAAATAGAAATCCTGATGCTGTTCCAAGCGCTGCTTAGCAATATCAAAATGTGGGTGTGTTTTCTGTTAGTCACAGACTCAAAGAAGAACACAAACAGACTGCTTTGAAGAAAGGTAACTCTGTCCTTGCCAGATCAGTACAATTTGTCAGAGTCAGACCCCTTTTTGGCTCATCACATCCATCAGTCTGAGTCATCACTGACTAGGGGATCTTCAGCCAATGTGGCTGACCTTGGTGCCAGTCTCACCTGAGGCTGCTGCTTGAGACAGATCATACAGTGATGTGCCTTTAATCAAGGACATCCTTTCAGCCTAACCAGCTGCTCAGTGTAATCCCTTTTTAGAGCATCTGTCATATGTCATGGCTGTTATCTGCTGTGGAATGCAGCCTGTTGTGATAGTGACTTGCTCTCTTCTGTTGGCTTGCATCTGCAGTCTTTGTTTTCTTTACAGTGGTCTTGATAAATGGAGATGTGATTTGGTTCTCTGGCTCCCCCCGTGCAGAGGGCATGTGGTGTGGGGAGACAAGCCCTTTCTAGCACTATTATCAGAGTTACCAGAC